ATCTTGGAATTCAAGCTGAAGGACATGAAGAAGCAGATCAGGCCACAGCAGGAAGACATAAACAAAAAAGCAGAAAGGATAGAAAAGGTACGTGAGAGGGCTCAGAAAATCTTAGATTGGCTTCAGGTAGGGGGGCAGCATGTTGGAGTTTCATCCTCAATTTGTTCTTTTTATTTGCTAGAACTGAGTCTTCTTTCTGGAAAAGCCATTTGATTCTCTTTTTTATTTCAATGGGATGGAAGTAGTCAACGCCAACATGATTAAAGTAACCCTCAGCATGACCTGCCATTTTCAGTTTTTCCTGCATGCATCTACAAAAGACATGCTGCTGTTTTAACTCATTGATTTTAGTTTACTTTGAAAAAAGACACAATGGATGTAAGGGTTGATTTTTTGACTTTGTTTCCCGTTTTTTGTTTGTTTTAGTTTTGCAAAGAAAGAGGAACTACTCATTTCTAACTAACTGAACACTTTGCAATCCTGGGTTTTGTTGTTGTTGTTACGGACATGTATTGATAACATTGACACCTTCACACTCATAGAGTGACCATAATTGCCGTGTGTTATTGCAGTCAAAATCAAATGTGCAGGTGAGCCTCTATCCTTGCATGAAGAAAACATGGCGAGTTAAAGACAATTGATAATTCCTGTTCAACAGCTTGAGGAGGAGCTCAAGATGATCACTAGGAGCGGCAATCGTCTGAAGGTCACCATATCTGAACTGAGGCTCAGACTGAGAACCAAAGACAAAGAAATCCAAAAGGAGATGCAAAAGGTCAGCACTCACACACACAGTCATGATTTCATGTCTTTAGGAGACTTTACGTTGACTTCCATTCACTTCAACAGCTCAACTCTTACCCTACCCCTAAGCATCACAAACTACACCTAACAAAAAAAGCAGCATCCCCCCACCCCCATGGGGACCAAGAAAATGTCCCCACAAAAAGCAGTGGTCCCCACAAACCCACAATGTAGACAGAAATAGGACCCCACAAGGATATAAAAACCTGGTTCACACACACACACACACACACACACACACACACACACAGAGTTCATTTTGTTTTTACTTAAAATCCAAAATAGTTTGTTTTAAAAGAGAAAGGCATCCAATCCAGAAGGTAGCCAATGCTCGACAGCCGTCTGAATTCAAGATATTAATATGAAAGTGGAAGATGGCTCTATTTTTTTCTCTAATGTTGCTGAAGCTGAAAATGGTCGGGGAAGTTTCTACGTCTGACAACTTCCTTTGTACAGGTGCAGGATTTGACTACGCTTCTTGAGCGGGTCAGGTCAGACCTCCAGGTTTGTGTCTCCCTCATCCAGGATCCCAGGAAACTGAAAGACAACATTTTGATGATATACAGCCGATACGCCTCAGGCACAGAGAGTGTAAGAGCCGATTGTCGAGTGTTAGTTCGATGCATGTTGTTGACAGGATCGGTGAGATTGGACGACCCTGCGCGAGACAAGCTGATGTTTTTTTTTTCTAGGCAAAGAGGATCCTTGCAGTTGATGAGGGTGTGTGCTCCCAATGTAGTCAACTGGAGATGACTGTTGGCAGTCTTGAGAAGAAGCTGGTCAAATCTGCTAAGGAGCACGAGGATGTCTACACCAGGATGATGAAGGTAAAGACTACAGTCAAAGATCAGTGTTTCCCCCATGTTTATTGAACTGGGCGTTATAGGAAGGTCTGGTCTCAGTAGCGGCTGGTGAAAGAAATTCTTGGTGGGTCTGATGCAGAGGTGGGCCCAAGAGTTTTAAGAACAGAACTACTTCGATATATATTTAGTCAAGTAAAAGTAAAAATAGATTACTTCGTAGTGAAAGAGTATTCGGTAAAAAGAATAGATGATCAAAACATCAATCATTTGATATTTAAAAATTACATTGTCAGACAGCAAAATATATATTTATGTGCTAAATTTGGCACTTTAAAGATCCATATTTTAGTTATTCATATAAATAAAATTACAAAATGACAAAATCTGGCAAAAGAAACCGTTTTCTGAATTTCTTGTTTTTAAGTTCATCACTGGCCCCCATCCAGCCCTATTTAAATACTTCCTGGATTCACCCCTGCTCAGCAGTCTTGACAATTACTAGCATAGGACTTTGTCCCTTTTTCTTTAATGTCACTCGTATATTTAAGATTCAGCACATTATGATTCGCCAGACTGCAGGTTTTTTCTCTCTACGAAGGGAGTCAACTCCCCACAGATTTAAAAGTATCTTTCTTGGAATATGGAACCATAAGACGTTTTGATTTTTTAAAAATGTCAGAAGCCAATTTTTTAAGGTGGCATTCATGCAGTCAAATTCAGTAATTTAATCGTCCAACTGATTAGATTTTCTGATAGTATTTTGTTTATGTTTTAAAAAAAATATCAATCTGATTAACAGATTAAATTGTAAGTTGTGTATTCCTAATGTATATGCAGGGTAAATAAGCCTGGAAATACTTTGTCCCTCCCCTCTCACATTTGGTTAGAACACATCCTTGGTTGACGATTCAATTTGTACTAAAGTTAAGCAATGTTTATTTTTAGCAATACGCCTAACAAAGGGCTAAAATCACGTCCCGAACTCTTAAAACAAAACATGTATGGATAAACATGCGAAGTGGATGAGACTAACCTTCAACATATTAATCAGCTGCTAATGATGTCTTTGTTCTCTGCAGGACAATGTGGCTCTTGTTACCGAAATCAACGAGCTCCGTAAGGCGCTGCACGCCGAGCGGAGCAAGGAGAAAGCAAAGTTCAGCAAAGCCTCCTTCAATAGTCCAGGTCACATCCCACTTCAAAACGAAGGAGCTGAAGAAGAAACTTTACAAGGTGGAATCAACTGAGCCCCTCCTTGTTTAACGTTTACATAGAAAAATAAAAAAAAAGAGGATTTTTATAGGTGAAATCTACATTTTCTACCTTGTACTTCAACTTCTAAAAATTCGGGGAACACTTTATATGAAGGGTTGTGCATAAGACTGACATGGCACTGTCAGAAAACTGAAGGAGTCTTCATGAATGTTTACGACTGTTGTCATGAAGTGTCATGCTGTAAATAATGACACTTTTAATACAATTTTTAATGCAACTTTTTACTTACCGTATGACACTTCATGACAACTCAAACATTCATGAAAACACCATCATGTTCTGACAGATGTTACAGTCCTGCTCACCATTATTGGCACCCCTTCATGATTTGCATAGCTGAGTGAATATCTTCAGAAATAAATGGAAATGTTCAAAACTTATATCAGGAGGATCTTTCAATTTGAGGTCCAAAGTAATCTAACAAAGACATTTACCATTTCAACATAAATATTTTAATTCCAAAGGACAAAACAGAAAACCAGCATGTGCTCTAATATTGACCCCCCTCTTTAATATTTGGTTGAACTGCCTTTGGCAGCAATGACGGCCTCCAAACGTTTCTTATATTCATCTAAAAGCTTCTTGAGTTTCTCAGGTGGCATTTTCTCCCACACTTCTTTTGCAATATGCTCAAGCTCTTGTACATTTGCAGGGTTCCTTTCTCCAATGGCAGATTTCAGATTTCAGCTCCACCCAAAGATTTTCAATTGGACTGAGATCAGGACTCATTTGCTGGCCATTTTAAAACAGTCCATTTTTTCCCTCTCAACCACACCTGTGTGTTTTGGGTTGTTGTCTTGCTGGAGGACCCAGGATCTTCACCGCAAACCAAGTTTCCTTACACTGGGCAAGACATTTCGCTCTAGAATTCCTTGATAATCTTCTGATTTCATGATGCCTGTGATACAGTCAAGGCCTCCAGTACCAGATGCCGCAAAGCAGCCCCACAGCATTATGGATCCTCCACCATGCTTTCCTGTTGGTATGGTGTTCTCATCTTTAAAGGCTTCATTGCGCCGCCTGTAAACATACTGTATGTGTGATTTACGGAAAAGCTCCACTTTTGTTTCATCTGTCTATAAAACGTTGTCCCAGAAGGTTTGTCCAGCTTCTCTTTGTCGAAGATCAAACATTCTTTTTTATGTCTTTTCTTCAGCAATGGGGTCTTCCTTGGCCTCCGCTCATAAAGCCCCACTTTGTTTAGTGTGCGGCATATGGTACTTGTTGAAACAATCACAGCAGACTGCTCCAGGTTGGACTTTAGATGTTAGACATGGTGTTTTTTCCACCATTCACACCAACCGTTGAGGACTTCTGTCATCAATTTTTCTCTTCCCCCCACGTCCAGGGAGGTTCTTGACCGTTCCATGCCTGGAAAACGTCTTAACATTACGCACTATTGAAACAGGGTACCAAGGTCTTTGGAGATGGCTTTATACCCTTTGGAGGTCTTGTGCTTGCAAATAATAGCATTTCTGATGTCCTCAGACAGCTCCTTTGTCTTTACCATTGTCACATGTGGAGATGAACTAACAGGTGGCTTTTAAAGCACCAACATGATTATTCATTGGTTAATTCATGAGGCAGTCCATCACAAGTGATCTTTATGTGTGATTTGCAACAGGTGAGCCAAATTGGGTTTTCATATTGATTTGCAGCAAAGGGTGCCAATACCATTGGCATGGTAAAAATGATGTTTTTCTTCGTTTTCCTCATAATGTTTATCTTTTTAAATGTTTTTTTTTTTATTTTTTATCATTTGCTGTTTTGCATCAAGCTATCAGCAGTAAAATGTTTCACTTGATGAATTTCCTTCAGTAAATATTCCATTATAGGTACTTAAACTTCATGGGTGCCAATAATGGTGAGCAGGACAGTATGTCAGTCTTATACACACCTCTTCAAATAGTGTTGCCAAAATGTGTAAAAAAAAAATAAAAATAAACATCCAGAGTTTATGTACAAACTATAATAAGCAAATTAGATTTTTTAATCTCAATGAGTTTTTCTCTTCTAGTTAAATGAAGGTTAGAAGCAAAACCAGTTGCATGTAACTTTCCAAGCAGTGAGGATGTAGAAAAGTGATTTTACTGCAGGAGCAGGACTCGCCTCAAACTGGTTCTTGTGATTCTGTATTCATTTAATGAGTCAAAACAGATCCTAACTTAATCTGAACATTTGTCAAAAACACATTAAACCTTTTCTAATATTCATTTCTTGTAAAATACAATTGTAGCAAAGAGAGAGGGTAAAGACAAGAAAAATGGGGAGAAAAAATGTTGACAGAAGTTATTTCACTCAGCCAACCAGACAGTCAAGTTGATTTACAAAGATGATTAAATAAAAAAACTAAACAGACAGAAGGAAAAAACAAAAAAAACAAGTTAGACACATGGAAACGTTAGACATCTTGGTGAAGTTTCAGGTCTGTAATGTGCATCTCGATCCTCTTGTGAAGACCATCCATTGATGTTGACAGGGTGTCATACAGCGCCTGGAAACAGGAACATGTTCCACCATGAAGCAGGGCTCTAAGCCAAGTTCTCTAACTTTTTTTTTTTTTAACCAACATTTTTCTTTTTTAGATTCAACAGTCAAGTCGGGCACACCCACATTTTCAACTGCATCACATTTAACAAGATAACTTTGAGAAAAAAAATCCCTGTCCAGAAAAAGGAACATGACTTGTAAACGATTAATCTGTCAAACTCAGTTGTGTTTGAATCACAATTGTACAAGACGGGTATCTTACTGAAAAAGTGTTTAAAATAGGTGAAATTTAAACATCTCAAGATAAAAGAATCTAAACTATAAAGTGCAACTATAAGTACTTTTCTAACCCAAAACCCAAATATTACTATTAATTGCTTAACGGTAAATTGTTAAAGGTTAATTTATGTTTTTCAATTATGACTTTTTTTTGTTAAAGGTTTTTTTTGTTTTTTCCTGGGAGTACTTTTGACTTGTTTTTGTCCCAAAAAAGTTTGGACACCCTTGATATAACAGTTTCACTCAGAGGAGTGTGTAACAAAACTCGAGAACTGGAACAATTCTTCCTGGTTTGTTTGATCCAATTTCTGGTTTCCTCCGAAACTGCAGAAGCCTTGGATTTCCAACGAAGGAGATTCAGTTTGACGTACTTCTGTCTGACTGCAGCACTCGTCCCCTAGTGGTCAGCCAGGTACTGGATGTAAAAGATGTAGACGAACGACTCGATTCTTTTGAACGATTCTGTGCTGTGAACAGTAGGACTCAATTCCCAGCTGGTGAGAACTGTTCTTTGTTTACGACTTTGCCTGCTTATAATGCTCTGCTCGCACATCAACAACTATTGTTATTTTATTTAATTAAAAATTATGTCATCAGCAGATCAATAGAATAGATAAATACAATTGGTAGAAATTGGGATAATTTTATATTCAATGGCGCAGAAGAGGACTTTTGTTTTTGGCAAAGCAACTCAAGCCTATTATTCTTCTATCTTGTTTCTAAATTACAAATATGCCTAAAAATGTTAATACATTTTTAGGCATATTTGAGGTAAAAAACAACTTATTATTATTTTTTTATTTTCATATATTTTACATTAAAAAGACTAAAATCCACACTTACAGAATCTGTTAATAACTCAACATGCCGGGAGTAGAGTGTTCATGATGATTTTGTTCTGTCCTGTTGTATTTACTAAATAGCATGAATGAACAAAGTGAGTTAAGAGACTGATTTTCATTTCAGATTGCATATATTATGATGCATTTTTGTGGGGTCAATTTCGAGTCAGGTGGTCTGTTAGTTTTTATTAAATGGTTTAAGAGATCCTCAGCATGAAAATGTTTGCAAACCACTGGTTTAGAGGAATCATTAGGTTTGGGCCTAATGAGGGTCATTGGTCTGCAGGGAGACTTTCACTGTTTTTTAGTTATTTCCTGGAATGACTGGCTGTTCCGGTGCCATCTCAGATTTCTTTTTTTTTTTTCTTTTTTTTTTTAAGTAGTACCACTGAGAAATTTGGATGCGCTCTGGAGCCCCACAAAGGATTCCCCCTTAAACATCAGAAGTACCCCCATCATCAACATACCTGGGCCTTCTCCGTCTCTTTGCTGCAGACGTCTCTCAGGCTCTTGATCTTGGCCTTCAGCTGACGGGTCTCTCCGGTGATCACTTGGATCTTATCCGCCATCTCCTCGCGTTTCTGGTGGATTTGGTTGCACTGCCTGGAGAACAGCCGGTGTTAGGTTGTCAAACGAATGCTTTGCTCAGGTTAATTTTACGGGTCGTGACGTTTGAGTCGGTACCCCAACACTTCTTGGACATGCTGTTCCGTCGTCTCTCTTTTTTTCTGCCTGCGGATGTTCTGTTTGCACTCCTTATCCAGCTTCATGCCCAGAGCCCTCTTCAGCTGGACCTCCTCGCTGCACAGACTTTTCAGCTCCTTTTGCATCTTCTCACTTTGAACTAACAGCTCCTGGTACTGTTGACATCCAACATAAAAAAAAAAAAAACTTTAAATATTGTTTCCCCTTTACCCATTTCTACTGTGTGTGATCTACAGTGAACATGAGGTCACATTTCCACACTCTGACAGCTGTTCTGTTCATATTTTGTTATGCCACAACCACAAACTGTTTTGTTGGAGTTTCATCCAGAAGAGCAACCAAGTGACTGAATAATTGTTAAGTGAATGGAAAAATGTCTTTACAAATAAAAATATGAAATGTGTGGCATTTATTGTGTAGAATCGTCTTCTGGCCTCAGGCGTGTCTCTTCTAGCTTGGAACATCTACACACCCAACGATGGCTCAGTCAGATAGATCGTCTCTGACAGAGATGGAAGCTTAGGGATTTGAAACCCAGGAGGATGTGAGAGTTGAACGTACCTCTTCCTGACGCAGCCTGGTGTTGTTCATGCTGCTCTCCAGGTCCTGCAGCAAGCTGTTCATCTGCTGGAGCTCAGCCTCAGTATGGGCCACGCTCTGCACCCTGTTCTGCATCTCCACCACATACTCGTCTGTTTCTGCCTGAAAGTTTTAAAAAATGAAAAAAAAAAATCAAGCAGGTGTGCAAGAAATCCCAACATATTGGCTCTGATTGTGTATGAGGGTTGTATTTCTATGTTATTATAATTACACAAAGTCTTCTGTTACTCAGATTGTTCATATACTTGACTAAACACTTCAGAAACTGCTATGATGTGACATTAAGATCAGGTGCCCCTCATCTTTATTTCTTCTTCTTCTGTGGTATTGTTTTATCCATTCATTTGCGATTTTAGGCCACAACCTTTTGTAATGTTGTCCTACAGAAGTTGGTTATTTTTCACCCAAATACTTCCAGTTCATAGAGTTGACTTTAGATTGTTATAAACTTTTATTTTATGCAGGATTTGGTGTAGGCGGCCAATGACTTGGTTTCCTGTTTGTCGTTCGTCAGAATAAATGGAGAACTGTCCTCCAAGACGGTTTAATCCTTCAACGAGTAACCAGCACAGTGCAGGAAAGATTGAGTTACATCTGCAGACCAAACACTTTCCTACTTACTATGGAGTTCTTGATTTTCTTTGCAGCTTCCTTCATCTTCTCCTTCTGGCTCTTCAGCTCCTCTGGAGACTCCACGATCTGAGACTTGAGTTTGGTGATATCCTCTTTCAGGTTACTGACGTCCACCTTCACTTGGGACTGAAACACAGACACACACAGACACACACGTTTAATGACACGGCAGAGACTCGACGAGCTTAGACATACGAGTCCGGATCACATACCAGCTTCTGTGTCTTCTCTGCTATTTTGGTTTTCCACTCTGCAATGTTATCGTTTTTGACGTTCTGAAAGGAAAATGACAGTGTCAGACTTTAATTTAACACACACTCACACACCACAACTTCGGCCGTGTGTGTCCGTGTCAGTGCCTACCACTTCCTGGTATTCATGCACGGTGGTGGCCTGCAGCTCAGAGAGAGCGGCAGCCAGCTCGTCTGCCTCGGCCTGCTGTTCTGGTGGGATGGTCCTGGGTCAGGATGAGACGGATCAGAACACGTCACACTGTTCCCGTTTTTTTTTTTTTTTTTTCCCCCCGCCCAAGCGTTTTTCAATACGGTTTCAAACGCAATGACTAGCAGCTTGTGTTTATGTTGGAACGTTCTTTGCCTTTTACATAGAAAACAACGATTAGACGGCATCGGCTTGCTCTCAGGTTGTTATTTTAACTATATTCATATGGTTTGTTAAATATTCAAATGTACTTAAAATATACCTTTACTGAAGTTCAAACCTTTTTTTTTTAACTTCTTTCTTTGATTGCTGATTATCAATCTTTAAGACATCTTGCCATCTCCAACTTTGGCTGATACCAGAGTTTCCCCCACTGTATTATAAGCCTGGCGGGCCACCAGGCTTCACATTGCTTATTTAAGATTTTTTAGTTGGTGTTCAGGTATTAATCTTCCAATGGCACATAATCATTTTCAAATTTCATGTCAACTTTAAACATTTTTAAACCATGACGGGCGAGCACCCAACCACCAGGTTTAAGTTTTCTGGGGGAAACCTTCCAATACAATATTTTTTTAGTTTTAAGTGTTGGTAAATATAGCAAGAAAATCGCTGAGCTGGTAACAGCAAAACCCCCAAAAGATCTGAACATGTTCAGGAGAAGACTTACGTTAGCTGCTCAATCTTCTTCTCTGCTTCCCGGTTTCCTCTGGTGTATGTCTGCAGTTTGTCCATATCCGCCCTCTAACAACAGGGGAAACAAACAAACTTTCAACTTATTGTACTACTTGTGACTAAAGCTTTTTGGGTTGATTCAGTATTGCTAGAAATCTGAATTAAACTGGCGTACTAAAAGCCTGGATTGGACTGTGACAGAGCAACACAAAGTAGTACAGTTGTGGTCAAAAGTGTACATACACTTGTAAAAAATCATAATGTTATGGCTGTCTTGAGTTT